TATATATATATATATATATATATATATATAACACCACTTACCTGGTTCCGAATTGTGCCCCAAACAAATGCTGATACAACAATCCGTATAACAAAGGAATTGATCCATAATAAATTATGGGAAGAATGCTGCAAGTTGTCCAGATAAAGCAAACAAGTTTCCTTTGGAGTTTCACAACCAGAGCACTTGGCAAGCTAAAGCCTGTCCAGCGGGACAGTGTGCGAAAACCACAGTCCATTGCAGGCCCGTTAAGCGGATCATACGCCTTTTTAGATGGGTAGAACATCTAAGATACCCAATACACCCCGGGGCCCAATTGAACCGCTGACTACAGCCAGAACCAATAAAATACATGCAGTTCATAATGGATTATTTGGAATCAGTTTTTAGTCAAATCCCACAAGTGAATTGCCAGTAGTTCTCTGATCCGGTTATAATTCCCCTCGTGCTGGTGAAAAAATACCTTCAGGATTTGGGATTCGTCAGCATCCGCTATTTGAAACGCTCGGTTTAAGGGAAGAGTGACCAGACAACCCACGGCTCTCTGTTAGAACAGGTAACAACAAGTTTTTTTATGTAGTGCGCTGGTTTAATGGCAAACTGTATGCAGGAAAAAATCACGACACAAGCATTACGGATGAGAACGAACAATATGGTAACAATATAGAAAGAAGTGGAGTGCACCTTAAGGGAAATTAAAAAAGACTGCATTTCGTCGAGTGAAATTTGGAGTATTTTAGAGAAATAACAAACGCTAGAGAGGATCCAACTACCTGTTTACGAATCGCGTCTTTCAGGATTTCTAACCAGAAGTGTTCAGAACAAACTGCGCTCCAAACTGGAAATCGAGAGGGTATTACGCAGCAAAAAGCTCTTGTTTACTTCTTCAATTTCCTTACGATTTCAAAATCAGGCTTCCCATAAGTTTTCACTGTACAAAACGGCAACAACGTTACCAAAGGATACGATCAACAAAGTAATAAATTATTAAAGCTATATGGGATGATCACTGGGCGGTAGCGTTGAACATCACCAACTTATGACCTCGGAGGATGTGCACCCGAATTCCACCATAGTCACTTGACTTTCCCCACATTCTGTGTTGTATGGTAGCCCTCTGATCGACCGCTTTCCCTTCCTGAAGACTGTACATTCGATAAAACGAGGGAAACACAAAGATATCATCATTATCATCGTACAGCGAGATACAGTGATGCGAGCTTCACTGATCGCTGCCAAAGATAAAAAGAGATAAGCCGAATGATCTGGGGCTCTCACTCAGAGCCTTCAATTTGGTTAAGGCAACAAGTACCACTGGATGAATAAGGTTAAATAATGCACTGCTCCAATTAAATTCTTCACCACTGTTCCCACTGAGGCGTCAATTGTTGTCGTACCCGTAACCTGGGCTTTATATTATCTCAAACCTCAGATCCTTGGGTTGAGAAAATTCACCCGAATTAGCACGTTGCTTTATAGATACTCAATAGCGACAGCAACCCGGATTCCAAGATACAGTCCTTTCATGGTCTGAGCCCGAACCCATACAAATTAATGCACAGACCGGCATTAAAACTATATTTTGGCAGTAAACATATGGATATGTTGAACATTGCTCCGCCCCCTTCTATAAGCAGAACGATTTATACCACGAATTCGCTTAAAAAAGCTCTTTAGATTGAACAGCTGGAGGTACGGTTATCAGAATAATAGCTAGAGGAAGGCAAAATGTTCATGATTCACACGAATTGGTCGGCTCACACAAGTGAGGGGTCATCCATTACGGGTAGGAAAACATCAATTTTGTACGGTACATTGAAACGGATAACAGTTTTTTTCAACGGGGTGGGTCATTTACGTGCACAATCGATCAGCATGTGATCTGAAACAGAAACCGAACACAGTCCGGATCCTCGGTGTCCCAGCTTTTGGCCCGACCCGGTAGTGCATAGACGGGCCCCGGGGTATAGACGAGTACAATTATGCGGCAGAATTTAGTCAACAGACTGAGGGGAGGGGAGGGGGGTAAACGAACTGGGACAAATAAATGTTCTCTCGCTCGCTCGTTCTCCGCTGTGCATCATTTGCGACTTGTATACCGCAAGCTAATCCGCCTCCACAAATACAAACGAAAACACACAAACAGAGAGACACAGATCAGTTGTCTGATCGCACGGGATCGATGGTGACGGCATTGTGTGCACCAGGGCGCATGCTTGAGGAATGGCCCGAAACGATCGGAAGCAAAAACAAAGGGACATTGGATAGTATGGTAGCTAATTAACAAAGACGAGCAAGATATTCACAGTAGTGTGACGATGTACACCATTGTCTTAAATGACATGTGAACATTTTGAGTCAATAAATGCTCCACGGGACTGATCACATTAGGCATATCGAACTAAGAAGAGATGATCAGTCGACTGCTCAATCATATGACATGCTGGGCGAAAATAGGAGGGATTCAACAAAAAACTTTTTCATTTGACGAAACAGCAACAACAAATAAAGTGCGCAGAGGAACAGTCATTTATGTAACTGTTTTTTCTATCCCAATAACCCAAATCCACTTTGATCGGGACTTTCTTGGAACCCTACCTTTTCTCAAACCGAAAGAAAGATACTACAGTATTGTATTAACCATCATATCGTCGTGGATTGGTTAATATAAGCGCGAAATACGAACCGAACGCTCATAAACAACAGACCGCTGTGCTCGATCCTAGAATCAAGCAAGCAAGCAAGACAAGACTGATGAAGTAATTTACGAACTAGATCCGTACCCTGGGGTTCGTGATGAGTTTTAACGTTGAAAACGTCTAGGATGATGTGCGATGGTTGCTCGACTGATCTTAATTAGTCGAGACTTGCACATCGACAGTATGTCTAAAAACATTTGCTATCCGACGACCGAAACGGAGATGATGACTAAATGGCACGAGTTCGACAGTATATATTCGAGAACGTGGCTTGTCATCTGATTAGAAGACACACAATGAACGACGCGTGTCCTCAAATAATGTCTATACGTTCGCAGGTGTGACTCGATTCGTACAACACCGCCGGGGAAGAATGCCTGCATCTGAGATTCGACTCCTCGGTGAAAAGTACGACCATTTTCAGTGAGGTAAACGAATATAACGCGATAGAAAACAAGTTGCATAGGAAGAGTTTCTGATGGAACGAACCCAACCCCGTGGAAGTAATCCGTTTGGGACAATTACGGTAAATTTGGAAATGGACGCCCGAAAGAAGATCAATTAAACAGCTGATCTGAAGCATTGTGACGAGCGGGAAGAAGCCAGTCGAGTGAATTCCCAAGACATCACAACAGTGCATGCACGTAAGTACTAAGTCAATCTATAGTCCGGAATGTCAGAATCAGGTCCCGGACTCAACCGGTGGATTAAACAACTGATGCAGGACGAAGTGAACAAACGAATGACTAGTCTAATCATTCAAAGTGTGGTGGTCGCGATTAACACATAACAGAATGGAGGAAATTCAACCAAGTTATGAACGAGTGTAATGACCACCAGCGGCCGTTGAACACCTGTTTCGTCCTCAGCAATGAGAAATATTTTTTTGTCCCTGCCGGGACACCAACATTCGAGCCAGAAGCCGAAAAACAGCTGAGGTACACGGTCGACGGTCGTCACTTTGATTACTGGTAAGGACACAAAAATTGTATACACTGCTGAGTCCAAATAAGGGCGAAACAGTTGCTGAGTGGTATTTGTTGGTCATTACACCATTTCAACGCGGCCACATGAGGGGGGAATGTGAATGAAAGGAACACAAGAACAACAATATACAGACCTTGGTGTCTCGATTCGCAAGGACGATATGAGGTGATTTGAAATTTCATTGAAATCACATTACGTTTCCCAAGAAGATCCATACATTAAAAAAACAGTACGGGGAGCACTTGCTCTTCAGTGTGTGTGTGTGTGTATGCATGCGGGTATTTAGTGAGGACGGCAACAACTGTGCAGAAAGATGGACAAACAAACAGATACAAGCATATATGTGCACTCACGCATTTACGAGGTCAGCTGATCTAATGCCCCAAGGGGATCGAAATGAGTTCGGATTGGCTAGTTCGAATGCAGTTGTGAATACCAGCCACAAAGAATGGCTGCAATGTGATCAGGTGATCACTAAGCAGAATGAGTACATTGACAGAGTGATAAATGGAACACAGGACGTTGCAGATGGTTGCAACAGAAAACAGGAATAGTAAACAACTTCTACTGTGGTGTTTCGTGAGCAATCAGAAATTTGCCAGTCCACCAGAACTGGGATTAATTGAGGTTGGTTCAACGAATTTTCCAGCAACACTCGAAAGTGGATGGAATCGTGCAACATGACTGTCATAAGAACGGATTGACAAATTTATTTTCCCTGGGACTTGTTCCGATGGTCTTCAGTGATTCTAAGGGTATCCTAGCGTATGTCCATAAACACACGTAAGCAGGTAACCAGTGCATAGACCAGTATAAAATTTCGTGAAGTGAAAGGTGTACAGAGGAGCAGGTGATGTCAATGCATGTGGTTAAATCCCACCGAAGTTTGTGTCCTTTTCAGGATTGAAACATATGGGAAAAAATTCTGAAAATCTGCCAAACAATCCAGCTTAACCAAACAATGACCACCAAATTGAGCAAGGCAGAAAGCTGACAATGAACGATTTAAGTTGACTTCAGGATCAATGAGTAAGAAAAACGGAGTAAAATGAAAACCAGACGATCGGAGTGATTGCTAGTCTCTC